GCCCACCCGCTGCCTCCTCTGGGCACGTTCCCACCAAGGCCAAGGGTTATTTCTGGGGACAAAGGGGGTCCCTGGTACACACAGGGCTCCCCACGCAGGATGGGGCCGGGGGACGCGGCCACAGGATGGCAGCAAATGCCACCGCTTGGCTGGCAGCAGCGGGCAGGGGACAGGGCAGGGGGACAGAGCTGGGGACCCCCCCCAGCCTCTTTTGCCCTCTGCCTTCCATCCCTTCTTCGATCCTCAAATCGCCACGAGCCAAGGGGATGCAAACAAGGGGCACTTTATTGTCACCTCCGGCCGCACCGCACGAGGCGCCCGACAAACCTCTTCGTTACACAGAGCACACGGCGGCTGGGGGTTTTGGGCCGTTTTACTCGGGTTTGGCTTTCGCCACACCGTCACTCCGCTCTCACCTCGCCCTGCCAGGCGGCTCCTTTCACAGAAAGGACCACGCCAGCTCGTGCACGCGGCCACCTCGGTGTTGCCGAGGGACCAGCACCCAACCTCAGAAGGCCACCGACAACCCCCATAACGCCCCATCCCACCCCACACAGCGGTCCCGGACCCGTGCGGCACCCTCTGCACCCCACAGCCCCCGGGCACATGTGGGCCCTCTCACCCAGCACCACTGCCAGCGACCCTGCTTGGTGGCTGGTTTTGGGTTTTGGGAGCTGCTCTGGTCAGTTTGGCTGTGGGATGCAGTGGGGAAAGGGACAGTGAGGCCTCGAGCTTGCCACTATCCCCCCCCATGCTCCTTCATCACGAATTTGCGCATTTCGTGCCCAAACGGCGCATGCTGCAGCCTCGCAGGGAAGGGGAAGAGGCCTGGGATGAATTTGGGGGATTTCCCGACCCCCTCAGCACACCGTAACCCACCCAGGGACGGTGGCTGCCTGTAGCAAACCCCAGCCCAGGATGCGTGTCACAGCCATCCCTCGGCCTTTTGGGGTCCCCAAAAAACCGACGCAGGGCCCTGGCCCCCACGCAGCATCCCACCGCTGCCTGGGTGGGTTTTGGGGGGATTTCCCACGGGGTCCCCAGCCTCCTGCTGGCGTCCCTACATCATTTCCCATAACACACATCAGTCCCACCGTGCCCACCCCCTCCCACCCAGCAATAACCCCGAATTTTGGGCACTGTGCCGACAGCTCCGCTCCGCTTTTTTTTTGGTTACCCGATCCCCCCCCCCAAAATCTGAACATTTCTTAGAAAAATAAGATTGTGCTTATTTATAAAATATTCTTTTTTTTTTTCTTTTTTTAAGAAAAGTTTCCAGTTTTAAAAAAAAAAAAAAGGCGGTAATATCAAAACAGGGTAAAACTTTGGCTGTCGACGGCTAAACCCTCGTTGTGCCGCGAGGACGCGCTGCCCCGGCGCTTTCCCCTCCTTGCACCTTCCCGGTGGATGCTCTCCAAAAAAAAAAAAAAACGAGGTGCCTTTTCCCAGCACGTGGCCATCCGTCCTTTGGCAGAGCCGTTCGAAGCGTAAAAGCCTGAAGGGCGCAGGAAAGCCGTGTTCAAATCGGAGCTTTCTCCTGGCTAGGAAAGTCTCTGAGTGCTTGGAAAAACAAAAAACAATCTGATTGTCTGTAGCTTCGTGAAAGGAAGGCGTATCCTTTGTCCAAAAGGCATTTCAGCGCAGAAACAAACTGAAACTGGGTCTGTGGGATCCGGACATAATATAACATTCGTACTTGGATATATTTATATATGGGATTTTTAGGTATTTATCGGTCGGGGGAGCGTTATTGCAGCGTCGTCACGGGTGACCCATCCTTCTCCGTTCTCCTTTCCTTTGGGTTTCTTGGGTGCGGTATTTTGGTTCTTTTTTTTTTTTTTTTTCTTCTTTTTTCTTTTTTAAATAAAGCTCCATGAAGGCCTGAAGGCCCCGCTCGCCCCCGCGTCCCCCAGCGGGACCGGGACCGAGCTCCAGCGCGTTTTTTTTTGTTTGTTTTTTTTTTTTTTTGGAAGATTCTGGGTTCGGGCACTGCCTCGGCAGCAACCCGCTGACACCTTCCTCCCCTCCCTTCCCCGAGCAGGGACATCATCCCCGGCTGCTTATTGCTTCCCATACTGGCCTGGAGGGGATTATTACATCGCTTTGGCTTGGCTTGGGCGCAGCGATCCGGTCTTTTCCTTCCCAGCATCTCCTCGCCACCGAGCGCACGGCGGCGCAAAGGGAAGGGGGCCGGGAGGGGAGAAAACCAAAATTTACCCCGAGGCACTGAGGAAAAAACGGGGGCTGCCAAGCGAGCTGTGCCTCCTCCGAGGCGAACCAGGACTTTGTGCTCTGCACAAAACCATTCCCAAAGGCAAAAGGCTGCCGGGGACTTGGGGGGGACCACACACACACAGCAGCCAGTCCCGGCCTCTCCGCGCTCAGACGACAAACTCCGGGACCCTCGTCGTGGGTCAGGTCCAGCGAGAAGTATTTGCTGGTTCGTTTGACGGGGAAGCCCTCCTGGATGTTGAGGCACTGCTGGGCCAGGCAGCCGTGGCAGTAGAGGCCGTCCTCGGCCAAGCCGTGGGCGCAGCCGAAGGTGTAGCTCTGCGCCGTGTCCTGGCACAGGTCGGCCAGCTGCAAGAAGTCCTTCTGGTAGAGCCTGATGTCGTCCAGGCTCAGGCTGTGCCGGTCCGTCGAGGTTTTGGGTTCCTGCACGCCGTCTGGGTGAAAGAAAGGGCGTCAGGAGCCGGGGTCCCTGGGGAAAGGGAGACCCGAACCTCTCCGGGAGAGGGGGCCGCGGGGTGAGGAGTGCCGCGGGTGGCACCTACCCTGGGGTAGGAGTCCGTGCTCTGCCCCCGCAGCTTCACCACCGTCTCCGAGGAGCTGGAGGTGGAGGAGCTGAGCTCCTTTACGATCAGCCCTGCGCCGGGGGGAGAGAGGAAGAGGAGGGTGTGAAGGTTATCTCATGGCATTGCGGCTCCCTTGGGTGCCCACCCCATTGCGCTGGGATAGAAGGCACCCCCAGCTGGATGGCAACCCCCAGATGGGTGGCACCCCCAGATGGGTGGCACCCCCAGGGCTCTGCACCCCACAGAGCATCCCAAATCGGCCCAAAACGGCCCCCACAAGCCGAAATTAATTCCCAACGACCACATTTGGCTCCGGCCAGGGCCACCTCCGCCCTCGTTCCTCCCCCGGCGTCCCCACAAGCCTCCTGCCACCCCCTGCTCGCTGTCCCAGGGCTTGCTGCTCGGGTTTTGTGCTTCCTTTCCTTGTGCACCCCCAAAAAAAAACTTAAAGCAAACCCTCCTCTGAGAAAACCCCACACCTTTTGGGGCTTTCACATTTTCACCCGGCTGCACGTGCCCCATCCTCCCCTCCACCAACCGGGCACCCGAAAATTCCCAAGGGGACTCTCGGGCTCGTTTGCTTTATCCCACACCGAGACAAACGTGGAAGAGGAAAGGCCGGGGAGGAGGGGAGCAGCTGGTGTTACCTGAGTGCCCGTTGAATTTCCGTGACAGCAGCATGTCCTCGGTGATGTAGACGCCACATCTCGGGGCTCACCTCCAGCGCCAGCTCCCCCGCCTGCTCCAGCTCCGGGGGTCGTCCACCCAGCATCTCGATCTCTGCTCGGGGCAAGGGGGGGGATTTATGGGGACGGCTGAGGAGGAGAAGCACCCAAGAGCCTCGGGGGGGGGGGAGACCGAGGTCCTGGTGTCTCTCACACCCTCATCCTGGAGTCCTCCTCCAGCGGTCCGTGCCCCCGCTCTCCACGCCGGAGGTGTGGGAGCTGCCGTGGCTGGTCATGGAGCTGCAAGGTCTTGAGTTGCGGTGGACGCCGGGCTCCTCGGGCCCCGTTTCGCGGGGTTTGGGGTCGGTCTCGATGCCCGAGGTGTGGGGAGCTGCTGTGGCTGGCCGTGGAGTGCCGCGACAGGCGTTTGTGCCGGAGGCTGCCGGCGCTGCTGCCGCTGGCCCGCGAGCGCTTCTCCAGCTGCTCCATGTCCAGGTCCAAGGTGTCCGCTGATGTAGGACTCGCGGTACTGCTTCTTCTCTGCCGGGGGTGGTACGCGGCACCCTGAGCCCCCACGGCAACCCCAAGCCACCCACAGGGTGCCAACCCAAACCCAAAGGGGTGGCGCAACGGGAGGCGGCTCCGTCGGGGGCACGCGGGGCTGGGGGAGGTGGGTGAGGGGCTCTAAAGGTGCTGGGCGCTGCCTCCAGTGGGGGAGGAGGAGGAAGGAGAGGAGGAAGGAGAGGAAGAGAAGAAAAAGGAGGAGGAAGAGGAGGAGGAAGCTAGGAAGAAGGGGAAGGAGAAAGAGGAGAAGAAAGAGGAGGAGGGGGAGGACGAAGATGGAGAGGAGGAAGGGGAAGAGGAGGAGGAGAAAGAAGAAGAGAGAGGAGAAGGAAGAAGAGGAGGAGGAGGAGGAGGAGGAGGAGGAGGAGGAGGAGAGGAGGAGGAGAGGAGAGGAGAGGAGGAGGAGGAGGAGAGGAGGAGGAGAGGAGAGGAGAGGAGGAGGAGAGGAGAGGAGAGGAGAGGAGAGGAGAAGGAGAAGGAGAAGGAGAAGGAGAAGGAGAAGGAGAAGGAGAAGGAGAAGGAGAAGGAGAAGGAGAAGGAGAAGGAGAAGGAGAAGGAGAAGGAGAAGGAGAAGGAGAAGGAGAAGGAGAAGGAGAAGGAGAAGGAGAAGGAGAAGGAGAAGGAGAAGGAGAAGGAGAAGGAGAAGGAGAAGAAGGATTGTTTGTTTCCACAAGGGTCTCACAAGCTTGGGGAAGGGCCATGGGGCACTGGGAAGCGCCGTGCTGAGGCACTGGGAGGAACTGGGCCCTCGGGGAGCACAGCAGGGCTCACACCCATCCCCCAAAATCCCAGGGATATCCACAGGCACCCACCCCAACCAGGAGAGGACTTTTGGCCACCCCCAGCCCGACTCTGAACCAGGACCAGGACCACCCTGACGCACCATCAAGGGGACCCACGGGGTGCCCTCCATCCCCAGGCTGGGCAGCGAGCCCGGCAGGGGCAGGGTTTGCAGGGCAGCCCCCCCGGCACCTACCCTCGTTCTCCTCCAGCTTGCGGACCTGGCGCAGCACGGGCTGCAGGTTCATGTAGAGCCGGTGGCTGCTGCTGAGCAGCTGCAGGAGGTGACGGGAGCGCAGCGGGCAGCCCGTGTAGTAAATGAGTTTCCTGGCCGAGGGCAGCCCGTCGGGAAGGATCTCGAACTTCTTGCCCTGCGCACGAACCAGGGGAAGCTCTTCAAGATTGGCACCGGCACCCTGCACCCCAGCTGGAGCACCCCAAAGTGAGCCAGCCCGGCACGCACGCGGCCCCGCACTCACCACGAACACCAATTTGCCCACGTTTGTCCAGGGGAAGTCGTAGAGCAGCTGCTTTTCCTCGTCGAGGTTCTGCAAGAAGAGGCGAAGCTGAGGAAATGAGGGACACGGGGAGCCCGCGGGGATGGAGCCCAGCCCTGGGCGCTGCCCGGCCCCGTACCTGGAAGATCTGAATGCCCCGCGTGGTCAGCCCCAGCGTCAGGGAGGCTTCCACCTCCCTCTTGTCCTGGGGGGGGAGAAATGAGAGGATTTTAAATACACCATTTGCAGCTTGAAGTGTGCCAGATCTGCAGCCTGGGGTCTGCCCCTGCAGCGGGCGCTGGGTGCCAAGCCCGAGCCAGTGGTGCCACGCGTGTCACCGCGGGTACCCAGTGCCACCTCCCCTCCCCAAAACGCCAAACACCCAGCAGAGCAGCTTAAATGCCCGAAAACATTGAAAAAGCTTCAGAAAAAAGGCTGGGGCACTTCTGTGCCTGAGCACATCCCACACCAACACCACGCTGGTGACGGTGGCCACGCGGGTGGCCGCAGCTCGCCCGTGCGCATCTCCCTGAAAGGCACAAATGGCTGGAAAAAAGGTATTTTAAACCATTTTTCCAGCTCTTTTCAACAACGTGCCTCCTCGCCGTGCTCAGGCGCTCTCCATACGCGCCATCCCCCGCAGACAAACTTCTCCTCCCCACTTTCACCTTGTAGAGCCTGTAGTAGTGCACGGCCACGTCGTCCAGGCGCACGGCCTCCTTGATGTACTTGAGGTGGGCCTCGGAGGCCGTCAGAGCGAACTGGTCCTTGTGCATGTTGGGGACGTGCTTCAGGATGTAATCCCGGCCCCTTTTGGCCACGACCTGTTTGAAGGCGAGGAGGGTGTCGAGGGGAGCAGAGGCAAAGCAGAGCGACGCCTTCCATCCTAGAGACCTGCGAGCCCCCACCCCTGTAGTGCACAATTTCTGGCGGTAAAAATAGGATAAATACAGGGGCCAAACATTCCTCCTTGTAGGGTTTCCCATTGGGCATGGCCATGGGGCCATCGCTTTTCCCCAGCATGTATGAAAACCACGGAAACTGGTAGATTTGGGGCAAACCCAAAACATTTAAGTCATCAATCAAAGCGGACAGCAGTGCCTACACCTTTTATATGATTTTCTCTGATTCTGTGATTTATTTATCCTACAATCCCGGCACCCTGAGCAGTCCTGGCTGCGGGATGCCCTGGGCAGCCCATGGGGGGCACGTGAGGGTGGCCGGGCGGCATGGCACGAGGGGAACCCCCATAGCAAATACAGGAAAATCCCCATCTGTGGCACCACCACGCTGACCCCAAGAGCTATTTGCAGCCCCAGCAGTTGTCACCGGTTATTAATAACCAGGACAAGGCTGGAGGCGAGGAGCCAGCAGCATCGCCCCTTCCCCTGGAACAAACCCCGAGCGGCGCGGAGAGCGGGCAGGAGGTGCCGCGGACACGGGATATCCTTATGGCAGGCAGCAGTGGGCTTACCCAGGCAGGGAAATAGGCTTCGGGCTCGAAGTACTTCCCGTAGTGCTTGCTGCGTTTGAAATCCCCCAGGTCAGCCTGCAGGGCGAAGGCGGTGAGCAGGAAATAGGCTTCCTCGCGCAGCACGCACTGCGAGTGCAGCACCTGCTTCCGCAGGTGCCAGTAGTAGTAGTACCGCGCCGTCCGGTCGCTGCAGGGGGCGAGAGGGTTCGGGGAAGGGGGTGTTGGGGATCCTACAGCAGCACCAGGTCCGCGCGGGCACCCCCTCGCAGCACCCCCAGTCCGCAGCTGGGGAATTAAAACCCCCTGGCACGGCACCGCCGCGCGGCCACCGGGTCCCAGAGGTGCTTTAGGCCCTGAAAATGTCTTGTTTTTATGCTGAAAGGAGATGTCAAGATCCCTTCTGGCTTGCTGGAGAGGGATAAAATCCTAAATCGCAGCCCCCAACCCCAAAAATGGCTCCTTCATCAGTGAGGGGGAGATGCGTCCCTGATAGTCCCTGCAGGGAGGTTCGCAGCGCGGGGTCCCTTGGCACACGAACAGATTTAGGGACAGGGACGGCAAAAAGGGGCGAGCTTTGGGTGCCCGCACACTCCTGAAAGAGGACACGCTGTTTTGGGTTACTTTCATAAAAATCTGTAGGTTTTTTTTGCAGGGTTTTGGCACCGCCCGGACGCAGCCCGGTGCGCCACGAGCCCCCCCCGCGCGGTTATCGCCTTATCAGCCCTCACCTTATCAGCCGGCCATTCTCCACGTAGTACTGCACTCGGAAGTGGATGATCATGGGGGGGCCGAACTGGTCGATCCCCTGAAACACAAAAGGCGTTCGGGGCTCCTGCGGGGATCCCACTGTCACGCTGTGACCCCCGGTCCCCTCTCCGGCACCCCCAGCGCGAGGTCTGCCTTGGGGTTCCCTCCCCTTCCCATTTTCCCCTCAAAATCTGCCTTAAAACAAAGGGGATTTGGATTTAAAGAAGGTGGAGGTTGGGTTTGAGACCCCCAGAGGGTCTGCAGCCACTTTCCCCCGTGCTGCTGTCCCTCTTCCATCCCTCCCTGTCCCCTTCGCCAGCCCCAGCAGCAGCACGGGAGCCTTGGCACCGAGCTCCCTGTGCAGGCTGCACTGAAAATGATTAAAAGGTGCTTTGGGAAAAGGAAAAAAATAAAAAGGAAACAGAAAATGGAAACAAAAAAAGGAAACAAAAAAAGGAAACAAAAAAAGGGAAAAAAAAGGGAAAAAAAAAAAAGGATGCTTGATTTTAAATCTGAAAAAAAAAATGAAAAGAATTTCAGCTGAAATTCTGCTGAAATACAGGGAAATGAGGGATGAAAAAAATCACTGGGGAAAAAATTAATGTAGAGGACAGGTCCCCAGCTGGGGCACGTGGCTGGCACGGCGGGTGACGGCCACCAAGCCCCCTCGGGGTTTGGTTTGCACACTCCCCCTCCTCCCCGCACCCCAAAACGCGTTCCTCCCCGCCCGCCCCCCGCAGCTGCGCAGGGACAGTGACCTGCGCCGGGGACAGAGGTGGCCTTAGTGCCGTCAGCTCTCCATGCAACACCTCACCGCTGACCTTGCTGGCCTCCTTCTTCCACTCCTTGGGGCAGTATTTGTAGAGTTTCTGGGCCAGGTCCATGTAGACGTGCTCATTGTCTGCGGGGAGGAGGGAAAAGGGGTGAGCGTGGCCGGCGCGTCTGCGTGCCCAAACGGCACCGGGGACGGGCACCGGGGGATGGGTGGACAGCCCCAGCCTTACTCTGGATGACGCTGAGCCCGAAGAGGTGGCAGTCCTTCAGCCTCAGGAGGTCGCACACCTGCACGAGCAGCTCGTGGCACAAGATCTTCACCTGCGGACGCACGCACGAGCCCCGTCGCACGGGCACCAAAAACCCTGCCGTGGCCCCCGGCGCGGTCACCGGGGGGGGGTTTGGGTCTTTTCCGCGGGGACAAAATCCCCCCCCAAATATGTGGGATACGCGCGGCTGGGGCAGCTCGAGTGCGGGTGGTGCGTAAGGCACTGCTTTGGGGGCAGAAAGTGGAATACTGGCGCTGAATAAAAAAATCAATAAGCAGAGGTGGGAATTTCACGTGGAGCACACCAACGGAAAGCTCAGCAAGCGGCACACGGAACGGAGAAGCAGCAGAGAGCGCAAGCACCTTCAAGGGGGGGGTTTCAGCAGCAAGGGAGAGGCAGGGGGGGGGCTCAAAATGAGAAGCAGAAGAAAGCGAGATGAGAGGCTTGGCAAAAAGAGGCCGGCGGGGGGGCGATGCCAGCGGCTTTGCTCAGCGGGAACGGGGTGGGGGTCCCCGATCCGTGCCGCCGCCGCCGCCTTACGTTGATGATGATGTTGAGGGGAGTCGTCGTTGGGGAGGAAGATGCACACGCTGCGGCGGTCTCTGCATGACTCGGTTGTTGTGGAAGGGCAGCTTGTTCATCGTGGGCCGGGCTCTCCCCTCGCCGCGTGCCGGGCTGGGGCTGGGGGGCGGGCGGCGGGCACCTCACCGGCGAGCCGTGGCGCCTCGGTCCCCGCGGTCGCCCATCCCTGTGGGATATGGGGTCGGATGAGCCCCTGCGCCAATATTCCCCTGCCTCGGTGGCTTATGATGAGCTCCCCAGGAGCCCCACCACAGTCGTATTCCTTCCCATTAAGCTGGGGGTCCTCCCCCCAAGTGGTGGCAGGGGACACCCGAGTGTGCCCCGCCGTGGTTTGGGCAGTTGTGGGGTTTCAGCCCAGCCCCTAAAAGCCTGAAGCAAGCGGTTTTCTTCTCCCGGCTCCAGTTTGGAAAAACCCCCGAAGAGGCTTTCCGGGCATCGCAGCCATCATAAAAAAACTCTTTGTGCTGGGAACAAACCGAGCTGGCCCGCCGCGGCGCTGCCTCGCGGGAGGTTTGCGGCGAGCTGCAGAAAGCCCCCGGATCAGTGGGGTCTGGATTTAGGATCTGTTGCCCCCCCCAGCAGCCCCGTGCCCCTCCAGCTCTGCCCGAATTTCTTACAGGGTTCAGACAAACCCTGCAAGAGCCCCACGGGATGCACGGGGCAGCCAGCAGCCCTCGCCCCCTGCTCGCTCATCCCCTGCGTTCGCCTGAGTCGGGACGGGGGCCAAGACAAACCCGTCCCAGCACCAACCACAGGCAACTGGGTTTGATCCTATTTTCAAGGGCAAATATTCCTTAAGCACTCTTCATCCCACAGCTGTCCCCAGGGACGCAAACGCCGGCGTGAAACAATGAGCAAGGATCTTTACAACCCCAACGAGCTCGCTCCTTTTCCTAACCAGCAGCTCGGTGCTGGCACCGAGGGCACCACAGCGTCTCCCTCTGCACCAAGGATCAGCCCTGCTCTAAACAAAAACACGTCTGGCTTCCAAAAACAGCTCCACTCGGAGATTTTTACAGCGGAGGAAGAAGTGCCCCGAGGTGCCTTGGCGCTAGGTGGTTGCTGGCGGTGAGCACGAGGTGGGAAACCCGGAGGTGAAGCTCTCCTGCCGCGCTGGGCTGCACCCTCCGAGGCGTTGTGTGGCCGTGCATTAAATCTGTGCCCAGCTGCCAGGCTGCTTTCAGGGTTCATTAAAAATCACAGCAGGGAAGGAAACGGGGCTGGAGGTATTTGGGGAGCGTCCCCAACAGCAGGGAGGGCGCCGTGCCCCACAGGCAGGCGCTGCACGGTGCCCTCGGCACCCCGCTGCCACCCACGGGTGCCCCACAGCCCCCGAGCATCCTCCTGCTGCAGCCACAGCACGGAATATTTTTGACTTTCCGGGTAGAAATAAGCGGGTCCTTCCTCCAGCCGGGCTGCTGGCAGCCGGCCCAGCCCCAAGGAAGAAGCCCGAAGAGCTCCTGGAAATGAAACCACATCTTCGGGGCCCTGGCAAAACCGCCCGTGCCCCGGGAGCGACGCCAGGCCATACGTTCACTCCTCGCCCTGCAGGGCACTGCCTGCGAGAGCAGGCAAAACGCTGGAGGAAAAAAAAAACCCACACATTTCTGTGTTTGTAGAGGAAACGCTCCAGATCCTCCTGCTGAACGCTGTCTCCCCGTGTCGGGGCAGCTTCACGACCCCCCCACCTGCCAGAGCTTCCCCTGGGTGTCCGCAAGCTGGGTGAGAGGCGGCCATCGGGCACCCTGAACCCTTCCTGGGTGAGCTGTCCCCCCCCCAAGAGCTGGGGGCATTATTTTGGGGCAGCTGCTGCTCCTTCCCACGAGGTCAGCTCGCATTCCCTGTGCTGCTCCGGCGCGCCGAGACAGCCGCGGGCTGGGCGCTGCGCTCGGCTGTCTCCCCAAAAATACCCGCCGGCGCTGGGTGGAAAGGCTTAAAAAAAAAAAGGAAAATAACCCGGTTAAGTGCTGCTGGTGGCTAACCGTGAGCCGGGGGCAAACTCGGTCGATCTGTGGTCGCTGTTAAGATTCCCAGCCAACAGGTATTTTTCTCCCCGTGTGCCCAAACAAGCGCTGACACGAGCCCCGAACACGCACGGCTCCGGGCTGGGAACGGCGAGAAGAGATTGCAGCAAGGGAGCTCTGCTCGGGTCCCGTGATTTTCCAGCCAGAGCTGCCCCTGTGCACGCAGAGACCCCCAGCAAACCTTCCCCACGTGCGATTTGGCAAGGTGGGGTAGAGCCAAGCGGTGCTGGCAGCCGTGCAGGGTTTGGGCACGGCGCAGCCCCGTGGTGCCGGCACACGTGGCTCTCCCAGCCACGGCGCAGCTAGAATGGCACGCTGGTGATTTTCCTGCTAAAGGGAGCTCGGGCAAAAAACATTAAAACATCACGGGATGGCACTGCAGGCACCTCATCAGCCTCCCTGTGCACTCCAGGGGACAGGGAGAAAATTCCTTGACCCGCTGTGCTCGCCCCGGTGCCGCGGGACGAAAGCTTTTACAGAGCTGCCCGGGAAGGAAAACGTTGTGCAATAAACCCCAGAAAGCAGCTCCAGACATCCCTGCTACCCGGGCACGCGCCGTGTGGAACCCGGCTGCGGGCACGCGAGGGCTCAGGGAGCGGGGGAGCAGCTTGCCAGGCTCTCACAGCCAGCAGCAATCCTGGTCCCGTTCCAGCGCCGGGGATTTGCATCGCCTGAACTCCGTGGCCGAGGTGGGTTTTTGCTCCTCGCCGTGCCAAACGAGGCTGCTCTGCACGTGCATCGGACCCAGAGGACGTGGCCGGCTCTCGGGTTGTGACATTTCTGTGATTTTCGGATGCCCGAGGACGGGTGGCACGGTGCTGGCGGGTGGCACCGGTCACCAGCGAGTCCCTCCTGCTGCCACCAAGGCGGGGAGAAGCAGCACAGCACGAGGCACGCGCTGAAAGCACATCCCTTAACAGCATCCCCCGAGCCCGTCATGTTTATATTTGACCAATTTCCTTTTTTTTTTCCCTGTAAATTCTGTCCCATCAGCCGTCCAAGCCGGCCGCCGGTCCCCGGCTTTTGTTTGGGAGCCACAATAGCAGCGCATTAAGGGATTATGCAAGGGTTGATCGGCGCAGGGAGAGGAAAAGCAGAACAAAGTGCAGAGCTGGATGGGAAGATGAATTCACGGGGCAGGAATTTCTTGTTTGGAAGAGCTGAGAGTCGGCTCTACCCCACATCACAGGGCGCAGGTATGCGCAAGCTGTTATTACAAGTTTGGAGGCTGTCACTTAACGCAGCTTCTGCTAACCCAAAAGCGAGATTAATTCACGCTTGCGGTCACCCCGTAATTAAAATTGTCTCCGATTCCTCCTGAACTCAACAGTTTCCTCATAACGAACTGAGGCAGATGAAAGAGACCTGCACTGGGAAAAAGGACGGGGTTATAAATATTCCATTACTTCATCCCCCACAAAGCTGTTGGGGTGCTGGGGACTCGGCCGGGGCAGCACCGGGGTCCCCGCGGCCACCGGCGCGCAGCAGCTCTGGGGACACCCGGGGACGGCCACCAAGGGCTCGGACACGAGCACAATCCCAAAATGGGGACGCTGCAGCTGGGGCAAACCGAGGGGCTCAGGAAATTGAGCCGGGGGCTCAGGAAATTGCTCCCTGTGCCATGCAAAATGTCCAATCCAGCCTGGGAGCACGGAGTTTTCCAGCCGTGCGTTACCCGTGCGCGGCGCAGCAATTCCTCCTGCCTTCGCTGCCTTCTTTTGGGTGCTCTACAAACTAAAACCAGCAGCGGAGGCGCTCGGGAGACGGATCTCGGCAGGCTCCGGCCGCCAGCTCTGCCTTTTTTTTTTTTTTCCTTCTCTGTTTTCCTTTCCTGTTCACGAACCAGCCCCTTCCATTTTATTTCCTTCTGGAAAACTTCCCCGCCGGCCTCTGGGATCACAGCAACGCCTGCCCAGAGCTCTCCCAGATGCGGCACCACCGGGTCGGGGGGGGCTTTATCCATGCTCCCCCCCGGCTGCTGCAGATGTCCGAGCCCTGAAGGAAGCTGGCGGTGATGATCCATCGGGACAGCTCACCAGGGGCAAGGCCGGGGCTGCACGCACGCATCCGGCCAAGCTGGTGTCCCGCAGCTCTGCCCAGTTTGGGAGGGCTGGAAACGAGGAGATGCCCCCACGCCAGGATGGCCACGCAGCCCACGCCTCCCCGCTGGCGCTGGGAAGCAGCTCTCCCTCCTGCAGCATGCAGCTGGGGCACTCGGGCTTCCTTTCATTGATTTTTCAGCCTCCCCAAACCGGGTTTTGCCCAGCCACCACCACCCCCGTCCCGTGGCGGTGCCCAAAATCGCACCGCGAGGCGCCCAGACCGCTCGGAGGCCGGAGAGGAGGCGCACGGCTCGAGGCGGGCTGGCACACGGCTGGAAGCAATTATCCCCCGCGGCAGCGCCAGGAGGAGGAGGAGAAGGAGGAGGAGGAGGAGGAGACGCGGCGCTGCTCTGCTTGCTGCGGGTTATTCGAGGAGAGGCAGGGGAACAGACGGGGCTTTGTGCGCCCCGGCCAGACAGGGGACCCCGGCGCGGGCACCCCGAGCCCCTGCGCAGTGCTTTCATCCTGTTACACCCCCACCCCACGCTTTCCGGGGCTTTGTGAAACTTCCCCCAGCCCCACAGCAGGGTTTTTTGGAGCATGGGTCCCGGGATGGCAGCAGCTGCCCCAAAGGATGCCCGGGGATGGGAAGCGGCGCTGCCCTCTCTGTCCATGGGGTATCCCAAGCAGTATCCATAAATCCTCGGGGGTTTGGCTGCAGGATCTGCTCTCCAGCCACAAGGAGCAGAGCAACCTCCCCGCAGCCAGCTTGGCCTCCCCGTGCCGGAAAGAGACATTTCCAAACCATGAAAGCCCCTATTAAAAAAAATAACACCAACTCCACGGCAGCGTCCTGCCTGCGTGATGCCCCGACCCCAGGAAAAAGTCCCCGTTCCCTGGGAAAGGGCTTTCGGGAAGGCTCAGAAGATTTTTGTGCAAAAACCCCTTTTGGGAGCCCCATCCCATGGCCGTGCTCCCGGGCAGGAGCCGCGCTGCCACGGCCCAGCT